TCCTCGATGTTTTCATAACAATAACGAATTTGTTTGCATCTTCAAATTTCATTATTTAGCTTTTTTTCGTGAATGGTTTCTTACTATTTTCTTCAATATATTTGGCATCGAGCTCCATTTTCTCAACTTTTAAGTTCGGATGAACTTGTGAGTGATTAGCGATATGTCCCCATAGCTTCGTATGATGATCTATCAATAGTTTTCATTTAGATTAATGATTATTGTGTTACAATTTAATGGTTCGTTTTCATCAACTATATCTCCATATATCGTTACATCGGCTCCTTGGATAGATAATTTAAAGTTATCACTGTGTTGCTTTCCCTCTTTTGATAGCGAGCATTCATATCTATATGGATAATTAGTTCCGATTTTTATGATGACTCTTACTGTTCAACATTTTTTGTCCATATCTGTCTACCATAATATCCCATAACGTAAGTTCCTTTATCAATGTCTCGGTTCGCTTTTAAACCTTACAAAATATATGTTCGTTTCCATCTTCTTCTATCATATAATACCTCTTCCTAAATTGACTAAGCTTCCTGTACGCTCCTTCTCGTTAATTATGTCTATTAGAGGCCAATAGCCTGTCATATATTGCATTATCACTGCATTCGGAGACGTTACTGAGTTTTCAATGAGTTCTATCAAGTTTTCACTCATTTGAGGCGTCTCATATGGTAAACCATCATTTAGATTTTTGAAAGCCTTTAAATTTTATGGGAAAATCATTAATGTGTTGTTACTATTTCTATATCTAACCTTCAATCCTTCTCTGATCAATGTGTCATTTGACAGACACACCTTCCTTCTTTTACTTCTTGAGATATCTTCTTCTTCAGGTTTGCTTTCCACATTTTGGGTTGTACATTCATCATTTCCATCTGTAGAGGTTTCATTTCGATTTTTCCTTTTAGATCCCTTTCTGTTAAATTGTCCAACATCTACTATTAATTATTAGAATTTTCATAAAAGTATAGCTCACCGCTCTCAATGCCTTTGTTTTCTTCATAAACTCTGTTGTCATCTTCAAAATCTTCTAAATATGGCATGATTGTGTCGTTCAGTTCTTCATCTGCCAGTTCATTCAACAGTTCTGCAGTTTGATTTGATATTTGTCCATAAATACAAAAAAAAACCTCTTTGTGCTATTTGGGAGTGGTAAGTACTCGAATAAATTTTTTTATCGTAAAAAATAATCTTTTTCGTCTTTTCAGCTTCCACTATCAAATTTCTCAGACGTTGTTTTGAGTCCGTGTGGTCAGTAAGTGTTCTGGTTAAAACAACTGTTTCCTCTGTTAGTCTCAAAGTCAATTCAGTTTCGTTCATTTCGTCAGATCCATTTTTCGATTCTTTCATTTGGACCTATATGATGTTTTTGGAATGAGAAGAAAAAATCTTCTTACAAAGGTTTTGATTACTCCTAGAGAATTGATGGTTATAATGTTCACATAATCCACCTCTGGTAATTCATCGGTATTTATGGCTACTCCGGATATGTACACTTTTTTCCAATGAACAGTTCTGTCTAAATTTTCAATTTCATAAAAAAAAATTTTTGGGTAGAACGTACCGAAAAATTTTTTTATACATTTTGATCAAAAAAAAAATTTTTTTTTCAAAAGGCATGTCGTAATTGTGACTAGTATGTTATGTAGTATACACAAAAAAATTTTGAGCTTAATTGATCACTTTTTCAGCATTTTAGGAATAGTTTACTGTAAGTTCTGAGATCTCATCAAAACTGCTGTTACTCAATTTTTTCAAAATTTCTAGATAGATTACCTTTGGCTTTGTCTCTAACCTCTATGACTATATATGGGTATTCCAAAGCTTCCATTTCAATCATTACTTTTTCCAAATTACTTTTCCCTTCCATTTTTATAAGTTGAGGCAAAATTATGTCTCATTGGAATTGTACCTATATTATGTTTGAATCATCATTTTGATTATACCCATTCACGTACGTCATAAGAATGAAATCCCAATACAACCTCATCACATTCTAGTGCCGATCTTATAATCCCAGATACATTGCTCCTTCCTTCATGACACTTCAATATTCCTGCTCTTGAAGTTTTCAACTTTTTCTTCAAAAAGTTTTTCAATTTCAGAACTGATGTTTTATCTTCTACAATTATGTTGTGTATATTGTTACAGAATAATAGTATTGTCTACCTTTAAAAGCTCTCAAGCCATCATCATATGTGCTATTTAAGATTTCAGTCTGTTTCGTAAGCTTCCGGATTTCTTCACTTATGTCTGTTTGTTCCATTACTTCATTCGCTGCTACTTTTTTCAGATACGTTCAGGTTTTATAACTGTAGGCGCTACCATCGGTGATGTAGATCTGTTACATAGAAAGTTTTTGGATTACATACACTCTGTGTTTATTTTTGGGTTGATTTTCGAAAAAAGAACATAAATCCCGAAAGATGAATTTCGCTAAAATTTGGTCTGAGGGTGTATTTATGTGTAAGAAACTTATTTACGAGACGGCTAACAAAGGGCTATCTTAGAAAAAAAGTTATGACCATTTTTCGAAATTTCAGAAGTTGGGTGTGTTCCCGATTTTCGAAAAAAGAACATAAGTCCCGATGTACTAGGTGAATTTTGCTAATCCTCCCTCCTAAGTGCCTTACAAGAAGGATGCTGAGAATGACCTTCGGTACCAACAAGGTCATTTACCGAGTTCATCACGAACTCGGACATCTGAAATGGTTAGCCGAGACCGTAACGTTTGA